TCGGGGAAGAAGAGAGAAATCATTACAAAGCAAAGGGCAGCAGGCGGGGTGGCTGCGACGAATGCCGTGTTCATCTGATGCTAGAAGAGGAAGTGGAGCTCGACTCACATTTGGGATGGGGGCAGGACTGGGGAGAGAGGAGTTGTCCCAGTGAGGAAAGCATCATGGGTTGTTTTATGGCCAGAATGATTTAGTGCTTCAGCCTAATGTGTCTCATCAGAAGACGATCCACTGGGACAGGCCTTTATTAGCTGAGGTTTCCCACCATAAAGCCTGGGAATGTACTTGGGCTGTGAGTGGCCATATGCAGAATAATGCGTTTGGGCCCGGTTCCAGCTTCCTGCTCGTGGGCGATGAGCCCCGCGTGTCTGCAGGACCCTCGTTGAGCTGGAGCAATGACTTCCCCATCAGCCTCAGAGGGACCATACGCCGCAAGGAAAGAGCAACTGGAGCCAACGCGCGATCTCAGGTGAGTGCAGGGGATGAGCAGCTGGGGGATGCGGTCCGTGCTGCCTTGGGGTCTCCCCAGGGCTGCAGAGGTGGAGCAGTGCTTCTCGAGAGCCGGGTTTGTCCTGGAGTTCGGGGCCTGCTCTGCATTCGATCTCCGGCTCTGTACTTAGACAGAAGTGTTTCTGTAATGCAAGGAGAGAGAGATGTGGTGAGTAGATGTAGTTAGACATCTGGTGACACCGTAGTCACCTCACTGAGTATCTGTGCCTCAGTTTCCCCATCCCCAACTTGGAGATGATACCTGCATCATGGGGATAGGGTAAACAGATAGCATTAAGAGGATACGGGTGTGCTTAGTTAGTGGTAATGGGCCTCGTTTGAATCCTTAGAGTCGAGGGAGAATGCTCTGGCTGGCGCATTGTTTTAAGCATTTAAAAAGCAAGAGAAAGAAATGGCCTGGGTGGCCCAGAGCACGGCATGCTAGGTCAGTACGTTGACTTGATGGATAATGTTTGCTATTGCAAATAAAGGGAATGAATTGAAGGATGGTCACTCAAGGGGCCGAGGGCTCTGTGGATCATATTCTCTGCTGCTGCAGAGGGGTGCAGCTCCTTCGGTCTAGGGGATTTGGGAGGCCTAAAGCTGCCGTGGAATATAATTGGCGCTTGTGCATGGGTGAATGCCATAAAAACTATGAAGCAAGGCAAAAGTTTAGATCCAGGGCTTGGGCCCAGGCCCATCTCTTATAAATTGCACCTTTTGCTCCGCTCTCTCCTGTCTCAATACCACGCTGTAACCCCCAAACAAGCGAGCGTCGCCGCAGCTCTGCCAGCGGACTTATAAATTCAGTTTAGTACATTGTCTGCAAAGGCTCTCTGGGGAATGTCCTTTATTAAATAGCCCTGCTGTCTGAAGAAGGTTTCCTTGCCAAAGAGGGCAAGGAGCGCAGAGGAGAGAATGAACATTAAATGAAATTCTGTCACCCGTTAAGAAGACCAGGCCTTGGCACGAGCCCTGCTCTGGCTGGCCGCTGCTGGGACGAGTGTCAAAACAACGCGGCGTGGAACTGGAGTTTAGCACCTTATGCCTCTCTACTCGTGGTGGTTTCTAACTACTTAACTGCTTTCGTTTTTCTTTCTCTTGCCAAAAGGAAGAACTGCGACTTGTGAGACGGGCGAGCTAAGAAACGAGAGCAGTGATTCTCAACCGGGGAGCTGCAGGGTGCTGCACAATATAGCGCTGTGCAAAAACCCACATGTGATCGCAAGATAAACCCACAGATTGCAATCCATAGCACCAAAACCATTCTGCTGTGGTCTTCCCGTGGCTTCTGCACGGGACGACCACCGATTATTTTTTTCTGTAGTCACAAAAGGAGTGAAAGTTAAGAGCTCTGGGGAAGGCATTGCGTCTGTTGAGACTTGGATCTAAAAAAGGTTGAGACACACTGAATTAGAAGGGCAGAAACATTTCAATCAGCGTTGGGAAGACAGGGTGGGACTTTTGTTACCAAATGTGCATCTCTGTTTCTGGAATTGTTGGTCTTTTTTGGTAGCCCTTGCTCATCCCTCAGTGGGAAGTCAGCAGCTCCTGGTCCTGGCAGCCGAGTTTGTGGCTGCCAAGGTGGGAAGAAAAGAGATGATCTGACAAGGGAAGAAGGAAGGAAGGCAAGAGCCAAAAAGGAATGGTTTGCTTGCAGTTGCTCTCATACAGGACCTGTAGCCTACCAAACTCTGTTACAAGGGTGAGGCTTGTCCATGGTGGACTGCAGGGCTGAGGCCAGCGTGTTTTAGCCTGATAGGAGTTGGAGGAATGCACTTTTGTATTCTGAGTTGCTGTTTGAAGTAACGTAGTTCTTCTTAGCTATGCAAATACCTAGGAGTGATGGGATGCAAAAATCTAGAGCTCTCGGTTCCAAAATGAGACCTTTTATTAGACCAACTGAGAAATTGCAAAAAAAGATATATACTTTTTTTGCAATTTCTCAGTTGGTCTAATAAAAGGTATTATTTTGGAACCGAGAAGTCTAGATTTTTGCATTTCTTTTTCTCTCAGACCAACACGGCTGCCATATACATCTGTGAGTTATGGGTACTTTTAGAATCATAGAATCGTAGAAAATTGGGGTTGGAGGTTATCTAATCCAACCCCCTGCACAAAGCAGGACCATCCCCAACTAGATCATCCCAGCCAAGGCTTTGCCTACCCAGGTCTTAATAGCCTGTAAGGATTTTAATCATTCCCTTTGGGTCCCTCTGCTCCCAAATTATCTAAGAAATGGTGGGCACCTGCTTTGAAGCCCTCTTGCTGCTTCTGTGAACCTCGAACTGGAATTAGCCATGCGCAGTTCAGAAATGGCCGTGGCGTGTCTGTACAGCATGGCTTCTTGACGTGGAAGTTGGACTAATAGCATTTGTCATCAGTGGCTGTCAAAGCACTTCACAAAGGATATGAGCATTGCTATGACCATTTTATGGATGGGGATAGTGAGGCATGGAGAAGGGAAATGAGTTTCCCAAGACCCAGCAAACTAGGGTTGGGAAGTGAACCCAGGTTTCCAAAGCCTCAGTCCAAGGTGCGGTCTACTAGGCCAGTGCTGGATTCGTTGTTGTCAATCACATGTAGAAGCAGGATGAAGGATCTTTTGCTCGCATGATATTGTCTCCATTTCTAGATGAGACTGTTCTCTAAGAGCTGCCAAAGGCCAGAAGATGGCTGGTGAGAAGCTTTCTCTATTTTTGTGTTGCAACGTTGGAGGAATAACTCAATTATTATTCCATCATGTGAAATGCATGGGGGCTGAGGTGTAATGAGCATGTTTTGTGCCCCGGGCAAACCCTATGAGAAAGCTGGGGGTGGGGGAGAGGGGAGCTGGGATGTGCTGCTGAGTGCTGGCAGCGTGGGAGCTCTGAGACCAGAAGGGAGTGAGGGGCAGAGGGGGGTTACCTGTGCCGGGGACTCAAAAACAGCTACTGCTTGTTGCTTTTCATGTGTTAGCAGCGTAGACTGACTTGATATACATCCGAGTTGTACAATGCACTGTGAAATAAAGATGCCTTCGTTCCAAGAGGATTTGTGTAATTGCCAAGCATTTGGTATGAGGTGGGTTCTGGATCACCCCAGTGTTTCTGTTGCTCCTGGCATTTGTTCTTTCTGTGGATGTCATTTGAGCATGAGTTTAGTGGTGGCTTCCTTCTCTAGCATGATTTCTTAATGCCTTTGCTGGTGAGTACGTGGTCTTGATTTGGGACTCAAAGGGTGCTGAAAATAGTTCATACTAGTAGCATGCCCAAGGGTTGCATAAGGAACGTAGCCCTGTGCAAATTCTTGTGTAAGTCTTTCACTGCAGTCAGTGAGGGTATTATAATGTAACATTTGTGTATGGTGCCATTGGAGGTCTCTTGGACATCGCATAGGCCAAGATTTACAAAGGTGGCTTGCATTTGGGTGCCTTCGTCTTTGGGCGTCCAACTTGAGACACTACATGGGGATGTGATTTTTCCAAGGGCGATGCTCCTCATTTCTTAACAACCAGGCTTCTTTCAGAGTCCCAAGTTGGAAACCACACCATCTCTAGCACGTCTGAAATTGTTGGCCATTGTGTTCAGATGACAATGAAAGTCTTGTGGCCAGAGGGTCCTGGGGGAGGAGGATAAATGGGAAATGCAGGTAGAAGAAGGGAGAGGGGCAGCAAAAGGGCTTGGGTGACACAGAAGTCAACATGTTGCTTTTTATAAGGGAATGGGTTTTAGGGTAGGGAGTGGAGGAAGTATGGGGAAGGTGTGTTTGAAGGTTGCACGTGTTAAATACCTAGGCAATACCTAATGCCCAGCCACTTTGTGTTCACTTTACATATGTGTGTGTGTGTATATATGTGTGTGTGTGTGTGTATATGTATCTGTATATGTATATCTCTATGTATATGTATATTTTTTGTATATATGTGTATATATATGTATGTGTAGGTATGTGTGTATGTGTATATATATGTATATATATATGTGTATGTGTATATATATATGCATATATGTGTGTATATATATGTGTGTGTGTGTGTGTATATATATATGCATATATGTGTGTGTGTGTGTGTGTATATATATATATATGTGTGTGTATATATATATGCATATTTTGTGTGTGTGTGTGTGTGTGTGTGTGTGTGTGTATAAAAAGCCAAACCCAACAGCACCTAATGTGGGATACCCAGCATCCAAATTTCCTGCCGTGAGTAATAATAAACATTTTTCTCTCTTGACTTTCATAAGAAAGACAGTAGTGAGCAACAACCTACAAATGAAAACCTGGTGCAGCAAAACGTGAAACATCAAATTATACATGATATCGCTCCTTGGTAGCAAACAAGCTGCTACCCATCCCTGATATTTCTCCTATTTTGCGTGCGTTGAGCAGCAGATTGAATCTGCCTTCTCTGGAGCCCCTGGCTGGATCGAGCACGCCTGCGTCACGTCTTCCTCCCGGCCGATGCTGAGATCAGGATGCACCTCTCTCTGCTAGTAGGAGGCAGAGCTCAGCACAGAAACACGTGGTGGAAAGGACAAAAGAAGCATAGAGGAAGGTGGGACAGGCCGGGCACGTGGTGGCCAAAGGAGGATGCTAAACAACCCAGTGGGAAGAAGACCGTGATGTTCAAGACAGGACGTGTGATTAAGACTTGCATATCTACATGTGGCTTTATAGCACCAGGAACCACAACTTTACTCAGACTTTGTTCCGGCCAGACCCAATTTCTCCCGTTCCTTCTGTGTAGCTGCCAGAGGCTGTCCTTTAATATTGCCCCGTTGTACAAAAATCCGGTAGCAATACTCCTTTCTGGCTCTTAGTCTTTCCTTTATGTTATTCCTCTCCTAAGGGAGCCCCATTGATTTCCAATAAAGCAGCAGGTTGATTTTGAAGATCCAAGCACTTGCCTATTTTGTTTGATCGTTTGCCTTTGCGTTTAACAGGTTGCTCTCTCCAGCCCGCCTCCGAACGACTTTCCCCTGTTCTGCGTGCACAGACTGTAGCTTTATGAACCACGGGCCGTTGCACATTATGCCCCTTTCTACAAAGATTACGGCATCGTTGCTGCTTTTAAAGCCGAGAAAAACTTTGTCTTGCGTGTGGATTTCCTCCAGCAAATGTGCTTGTTACCCGTTTTGCCAGTTTCTCTAGCCTTGTATTTTTTTCCCCCCATATTTATTTTCTCCCATTTTGGTAGATGTTTTTAACCTCCTTACACACTCCTCATTGCCTTGACTCTTCTTATGTTGCTAGGAGATCCTTACTGGCAAGAGATCCTTCTAGTGGTGTCCCGTCCTATTAATAAAGCTTGATTATGATAACCGTTACGGCACCATCCAGATCGGAAAAGGGGCTCAACAGAAAGGCCACGCTGACATTCCTTATTTATTTCTTGTTATTGGTTTCCATACTTAATCTGGTCATTTTTCAAGTCCAAATCGGAGACTTTTCTCTGCCTTCCAACATTGCAAGCCCCACCTGG